TTAATCAATTTAAATTAAAGATACGACAATTAGAAGAGCAAGAATTAAAACATCAAATGCAATTAAGTGGAGTTGAAAAAGATATTTTAAATCAAAGAACATTAGCTAAAATTATTAGAATGAAAACTATGAGAGAAAGAATGAGAAGAAAGAGAATTCTTGCATTAAAAAAGAATTTAAGAAAAATGTATTTGGAAAGAAGAGATATGTTATGGAAGAAACGATGTATTAGATTTAGAAAAACAGCTAATATGAAACAAAATGAAGAGTTAAGAAAAAGAAAAATAGCACGTATTATTTGTGGAAAGAAGTATTGGAAGAAACAAGCTCCAAAAAAATGTTATGATTTTATTGGAGGAAAATATCACGATTTAATCCATAAACCAGGTAAAAATATATTCAGATGTCCATTTGAAAAATATCATGGAATTACTAAATGTGATAGTATTGAATTGCCTTAAACTTAAAACAAATGAATTTATTTTTTACTTCTTCTTTCATTTTTAAATCTTTTTTTTAAATAACAAAATTATTATAAATTTTGTTAATTTTAAATATTTTAAAATAATACTTTAAATTGACTTTAACTAAAATAAAAAGATTATTTAATATTGAATTAAATTATTAATGCTATTTTAAATATTATTTATTTCATTAATAACATTTCTTCTTATTGAATCTGCTATTGTTTATTTAATATATTGAAATTATTATTTTTAAGAAATATTCTTTATAACTAATAACTAAAACGAAGTAAATAAATTTCAAATAATTGTTGTTTAATAACATAATTTAAATGTATATTTTAAAAACTTTTATAAGTGTAACACTTTGAGATGTTTTTTATTCAGAAAACATATAAAGGAGTATAGTTAAATAAATGTAGAACAAAAAGAAAATAGGTTTTTGACGTAGAAAAGATTGTGTTTGTTTAAAAAGATATTAGGGATTATTACAATATCAACCTTAACAACTATTTTACAGAAAAACATTATTTAGAATTAAAGACAGCTGTTAAAGAAAAGTTTTATTCTAAAAAAAATTAATACTACTAAAGTTCTAATAAGAAGAAAGAATATTTTTAATATTTCAATTAGAAAACTTAACACTTTAATAACACAAATAATCTTTTTGATTGGTTGTATAATATTATTCTAATTATCCTTTTGTGTTGTTTTCATTATATTAATAATGGATAGTAATTTATTTTTATTGAAAATGCTATATTTTAAAGTCAAAAGAAATTATTTTATTTAATTCAAAACGTTCTAATTTAAAAACAAATGACATTGTTACAACCCGTATTTATAATAATACTTGATATTGATTAAACTTTTTATTGTTCAAAAAACTCATCTTTGATTAAATTGATTACAAACCTTTACTAATAAAATTTTCTTACACCTAACTCACAAATAAGAAATTCGTACAAAAGGTTAGTCTAATTGGATATATACAAAACTATGGGTAGGTTGATTAAATACTCATTTGATTAAAAATGGTTTAAAGGAATAAAGAGATGATATTATGTAAAAAAACAAGAAAATAAAATTGATAAAATAATAAAAACTAAGATTAAGATAAGTCAATTGAATAATGTGACAAAAAAATCCGGGATAAATAACAAGTGATTCATGGAAAGAAGAAATAAGAAATAGAAAGAATATTATGGAAAAAATAAAGAAGAAAATTTAAATAATCTCAAGAAAAATTTAAATCATGACAGCTGAGACACAATATACACCATTGGCTAATGCTATTGTTGTAGATCCTCAATATACACAACCACCTGCATACACACAATCTACATCATACCAAGAAGGATTTGTTCAACAACAAACACATTCTACTCAAGAAAATTCAGAACAAACCTCTATGATATTATTTATTTTAGGATTTTTCACATGCCTAACATGGGTCTTAAATATCATTATGTTTAGAGATAGTACAAATGATAATACAAAAAGGTGGGTTAAATTATCAAAAATTTTACTTATCCCTTATACTATTCTTGTTGTAGGATTACTTGCATTAACTATCATTATCAGTATTATTTCTGTTATAGTTGGTATAGCTGCTGCAAGTGCTGATGGTGTTACTTACTAACTCTCAAAGTTATTTTTTAACTTGAAGTTCTTTCCTTTTTAGTTATTAATTGATATTAATAATAACATTTTTAATTATTTGTTTTTAAACCATATAAATTAAAGTATTTTTGTCAGTTTCATCTCGTTGGGCATATTCATTCTCTAACATATATTCAACCCCCTTTTTTAGTATACGGACATCTGGAACAAATGACTTTTTTAATTCATCAACGGTTAAACGACACAAATCTTGATAACTTATCCGTTTTAGTCTTTTCATTATTCTTACTAAAATAGAAATAACCATTTGGAATCTTCTTTCTTCTACTTCATCATTTTCGCTTTTTATTTCTTCTGTTTTACTCTTTTTTTTAAAGTTACATTTTATTTTTAAATTACCAGCTTTATTAAACTCTCCATTAAAAATAAATGTTTTATTCTCTTTGCTAATAAGTAACTGTGACTTAATAAGATCTTCTATTATTACTTGTGTTATTTCGATGTCAAACTTATTTTCTTTACTGATAACTTCTTCATTCCGTTGTTCGTTTTGGCATAATAATAATACACAATAATGCGGTAATGGGATTTGAATTTTACATTTATTAATTACACACTCAACAATAGAAGAATTGTCACAAAGAACTAATTTTCTTTTTTCATGAATAGAATTGTATTGATCATTTATAATTTTCCAAGATTGGTCAATCAATGGAGGGAGTTTCATTCCAAAAGGAGGTCTAAAAAGTTTCTGGTTTGAAAGGACATTTACATTAGTTTGAATAGGTAAAATTTTTGAGATTTGTTGAGTGAAAATTTGAGAAGATTGAAGCTCTGACAATATTTGTTGAATGGGATATGTTAATGCCTTTCCAATTAAGTTTGTTAACCGTTTTATAAAACAGCTATTTGTTTCGAAATTAATTTCATCCCCATACATAATTTTATCTGGAAGATATTTTGCATATTGAATTAGTAAAATATCTTTATTATTTAATAATGAAATGAAGTCACAAATCAACCCTATCTCTTCATTAGTACAAAAAGATGAGACAATATGATTGCAATATTCTGCAAGAAGAATGGCTAATAAATCTGGAGATTTTTTAAGTGGTTCAAGAGAAAGTATTCCTTCTGAAATTCCTTTCTTAAAATATTCAATCCATTGACCTTTTAATACTGATAAGACTCTATCAATTTTCTTTGAGAATTCTAAGATACCATCCCCAAGACTAACAGCATCATCTGACCAATACTGTTCAAGTTGAATTTTTGTTTTTTCTTTAACCCCATCTTTTAAAAAGATAAATACCTTCTCTTCAATCCCACTAACCTCAGCCAATTCTATTAATGCAGTTAGTTCTTCAGTATTTCCAAGAGTATTACTAATACATTTAAAATCTTCACAACGATCTGCAAGAAGGATTGTATTTAAATAATTAATTGCATTTCGTTTTACTAAAGGAAGTGTTTCATTAATAAGAAGAACTTCTTTTGAATAAACTTCTTGTAATTGAATTGGATTATTAATAGGGAATTTCTCGCTCATAACTTTATAGTCTTTCTGTGCTTGAAGAAGAAATTCATTAGATAAGAAAAGAACAAAATTAGTATCATAACCTTCAAGATATTTAAAAATCCTACCTAATTCTTCTTTTTGATCAATAAATCCTTTCATTCTCCAACTAGATAATACAGCCATTAATTTTTTACTAATGTTCATTTGTGATTGTAGTTGTTTAACAAAAGAATCTCGATATGAATTATTTAAAATTGTATTAATATAATTTACATGAACTAATGTATCAATTGATAGAAACGTAATCATTAAACATTTCCTCACTCGTTTCCAAATAACAAACTCACTTTCTAAGGCTAAAACTATATTTTCATTTGTTACTAATCTGAACCTCTCAAATCTTTGTTCACTAAATCTTGAAACAATCTTTTCAATCATCTTAATCACTAATCCTTTATTTTCCCAATAATGTTCACAAAAAAATGAATAAACTAAATCATTCATAGAAGCCAATACACATGGCGTTGTTACTGAATCATTGTTTTGCATTACCACAATATTCAAAAATGGATCTTTATCAAGTTCTTCACAATCTGGTCGTTTGGTTGGATCAAAAGTTAAACACTTATCAACAAAATCAAGAATAGTTGGTGTATAATCTCCGTATTGAACGGGAGGAATTCCTTTTGTACTAATCTTGAATAATGCTCGTAATGGTGGGTCATCAATGTATGGTGGAACACCTTCCATCATTTCTCTACACATAATGCTTAATGACCAAATATCAATATTTGTTCCATAATCTTTTCCTTTTATTACTTCTGGAGCCATCCAATATGGAGTACCAACAACAGTGTTTCGTTTGGATTTTCGTTTTGTGAGTTGAACAGAAATACCAAAATCAGCAAGCTTTATTTCACCCATGTGATTTAATAAAATATTATCAGACTTAATATCTCTATGAATCCTATGAAGTGAGTGTAAATATTTTAGTGCTGTATTTGACTCATGTACAACATAAGCAATATGTCTTTCACTCAATGAAAATTCGGGGAAAAAATCCAACATTGCCGTCAAATTATTTCAATCCATATATTCCATTGCAATATATAAATAATTGTCTAATTCATAACATCCTAAATACCCAACAATATTTCTTTGATTTAATGTTTGCATAATTTTAATTTCTTGGATATTCACTGAATCATTTTTAATTAATATTTTTTTCATAGCAACTTCTTTATTTGTTGATGTTTCATAACAATGAAATACAACTCCACTCATCCCTTCTCCAATAGGGACATAGTCTTTATACAACACCGTTGGATCACCGCTAGTAATTAATTCCTCTATAAGTGTTAGTTTGTATATTTGTTGTTTCTTCAAATTAATCTTCATAGCTATATTATTTCATTTCAAAAGTATGATAAAACAAAAGGCATAAGTGATCTTTTTAAGAGATAAAAAGTCCAAGATTAATATTCGATAGTTACATTGTTAACAAGGAAAAAAAATAACAAACTTAGTACAACTGGAACATCATTTTCTGGAAGGGGTTGTTTCTGAGTTTCTTCTGTTTCATCGTCTTGAAAAATTTGTGTGAATTCTAATACCTTTATAGCATCTTCTTTATTTGATTTAATTTCTTCACGGGTAATACCACAAGCCAAGAAAACATTTTCCCATTCATAAGGAATTCCAACAAATCCACCTTCTTCATATGCGACATGGGTTAAATGATGATAGTCTGTTGGTTCACTAATATCCACAACTTCAGAAATTTTTTTAATCCAACTAGTTCTTTCCTCTTCACTCAAAGCCTCAAAGAAATATGTTTTATTTTGTGTTGGACAAT